TAAAATTTTGTACTTGTTTATCCATATTTCACTTATAAATGGACTTAGTTTTTCTTCCACTTAACATTACATACAGTCTGCAGTTAAATTTTTTAAAACATTTATTAGATTCATAAACTATCCTGGATTTTTACCAAACTTGGACAGAAGCTTCTTACAATAAAAAAATTGTATCAAGAGGAATATTTTTATTAAATTTTTAGTTGAGCCTGCGATTAACAGCAAAAGTAGGCGAGACACTGGGTTCCGCGGAACCCTTACGAATTTTTAGTAACAACAAACAAAAGAACTATGTCAATTGGACCTGCTTTGATACTATAACTGCCCTTGAATTTTTACTAGATAACATTTGTGTTCGCTATGGGTATTCCGTATATCGTCAGGTTATCGAAATTTCCATTGCGACTAACTGTGCACCACTTATTGCGGACCTGTTTCTGTATTGTTATGAGTTACAATTTATGACTAAACATGATCAGCAAAGACCCATCGAAACAACATCTGATTAAAAAATTTAATAACACTTTTAGATATTTAGATGATATATTGGCTCTCAATAATGACAACTTCAGTATGTACACTAAAGAGATTTATCCTGCCTAAATGACTTTAAATAAAGCTAATACTAACAATGAACACTGCCCTTTCCTGGATCTTGATATCTTTATCTTTAACGGTAAACTTAATACCAACATTTATGATAAAAGAGATGATTTTTAGATAGTGACGTTCCCTTGTCGCTATCTTATGGTGTTTATATATCTTAACTTGTTCGATTCGCTCATGTATGTAACAACGTATTTGATTTCAACGAAAGAAATCTCTGTATTACTGAAAAATTATTACACCAGGGTTTTCGATATCACAAACTAGTCAAAACATTTACTAAATTTTATCATCGGGACAAGGACATCATTCGTAAATATAAATCAACATGCAGACATCTTATACGTTCAGGTATTTCACATCCAATATTTTGTGGTAATATTCTTTACAAAGCACAAAAATGTCGGCATTCACCTCAAAAGCTAACCAAACCTTAAAGAGACTTATTCGGAAAGGATATAGTTACGATACTGTTGTCAAGTCATTAAGGATTGCATATTTTTGGTATTAATATTGATTCACTCATAGGGTCTTTGCATCGGAAATAAACACATTTATTCTAAAACCAGTTGTTGGCATGAAACGGGTTATGTTCTTCTCATATATTTTATGATGGTATGATATTATACTAAACCCCTAACGGGAGGGATTGTACTTGATTTTCATATGATGAAGACCTAATCTTTCAATCAGTTTAATTGAGGTTTGGAGCTGGCATGTCAGTAACTGCTAGTAGTCCTTTGTTCATTTATGTATTTTTTGCTTAGTTTCTTTTGTTACCTATTCTGACATCGGACTCGGACTTCTTTTAAACTGAGTTTTACTTTGCGTATTGCTATGTGTTTCTTTTTTCTACATTGACTAGAGGTAAAGGGGAGGGTTGAGATCTCACAAAACATGTTACGCCAAGGTTTCAGGTTAGGGTGAAGGTTTAAACCCGTTGCATTTTTATTCATCTGTTCTAAGTCAGGAGCCTGTTGTTCAGTGGATGTCATTGGTGTGGTTTATAAAGTGTTTCTCGTTTTTGTATAGATTAGACCGTCGGTTTTTCTGTTTGAATTGTTTTACACTAGTCATTTTATGGGGCCCTTTATAGCTTGCTGTTCGGTGTTGAATGCCGTACTTTGACCTATAATTGTTTACTTGTTTACACATTACGACTTGAATGGATAGTTGTCTCATTGGCACTCATACCACATTTTCTTTTTATATAGACGCCATCTAAATTATCCATCGACATGACCTCTGAAGCCTGTCGACGGTCATTTAACCCAATAATATAAACATAAATATGAATATGAATAAACAGACAAACATGTGCAATCGTATAACGAAGATCTTTCTATGTCTGTTTGATTTCATGTTATAGGTTAAAATATATGTAAATCACCGTTTTATATGTATAAAAATAATTTTGTAAGACCGGATCAGTCAACGAAATGGTTATTCCTACTGGCTCTATTGTTTCACTTTTAAACGTTGATATTCTTTTATTTTAAATGAATGAACATACTGACCACATGCTAAACACATGCGCTTACCTTTCTCCGCTAAAGGTCAAATTAAAGGTTGAATGAACATGGATTTTAATGAGTTGAAATTTAGCCTTTTATAGCCGGCTATATGGTATGGGGTTTTCTCGTTATGTGGTTTAAGTCCGTACACGGTGGCCTATAATTGCTCTGTACCGCTTGGTTTAACTCTTGTTGATAATTAGATATGGGAAGATGTGGTATTAGTGCCAATGAGACAACTCTACCAAGTAACAATTTATAAAAGTAATTACCATTATAGGTCAAGGTACGGCCTTCAACACGGAGCATTGGCTCACACCGAACAGCAAGCTATAAAGGGCCCCAAAAATTACTAGTGTAAAACCATTCAAACGGGAAAACCAATGGTCTAATCTATATAAAAACGAGAAACGAGAAACACGTATGAACTACGTAAACAGACGACAACTACTGTACATCAGATTCCTGACTTAGGACAGGTGCAAACATTTGCAGCGGGATTAAACGTTTTAATGGTACCAAACCTTCTCCCTTTTCTGAAACAATAGTATAACATCACAACATAGAAAGACACACTATAAAATATCAATTGGAAGGCTTAACTCAATCAAAAAACGTAAATTAACACACAATGAACGAATAAATTTGATCTATAATACCTGAATCCAAATACATAGTTAATAAAAATTATAAGGGATAAATAATTAAGGTCAAAAGTAAATAAACAGATTTAAATAAACATAAGCAACACGACGGGTGCCACATGTGGAGCAGGATCTGCTTACCCTTCCGGAGAACCTGAGATCACCCCCAGTTTATGGTGGGGTTCGTGTTGCCTAGTCTTTAGTTTTCTATGTTGTGTCATCTGTACTATTATTTGTCTGTTTGTCTTTTTATTTTTGGCCATGGCGTTGTCAGTTTGTTTTCGATCTATGAGTTTGACTGTCCCTCTGGTATCTTTTGTCCCTCTTTTAAAGTATGATACCACTGTGAAATGTTAAACAATATTTAGAAAATCAGCACTTTTGAAGAAACCTGCGTCATATCATACACAGGTAAATGAAAATAATTTTGTTGTTAAGTATACTTCTTCTTCTGTGTGTAAAAAAATCTTCTGTTTAGGAATACCAAGAAATTTCTTTAATATCAATAAAACTAATCTAACACTTGGTACATATTGGGTGAATATCAACAATAAAACTATACAATACGTGCTAGATAAAACTTCCTGTACAGGTGCAAGAACAGTATTTAAGGAGAAATGAAATAATTTTGATATTCATAGTACGAAGAAGTGAACATTTGTAGTAATAACAAATAATCAAAGCTGGTATATAGACAAGATCCATGTTAACATTAAATAACAAAAAAGCATTACAAATAGTATCAACAGGTCAAATTAAAAAGAAAGTACGATTTGAGAGTACTCGCAGTTACTGACAGCTAGTTAAAAGCCAAAACAATTAATAATAAAAAATCATGCATCAGAGACAGAAATCAAATAAAACACATCCCAGGGATTTAGTATTTTAACGTCATGAACAGTCAAGGAAGACAATAAAAAACATCGTTGATGCAAGTCAATAATGCATCAACGGTGTTTTTTAGCTTATTTTGACGAAACTGAACCAAACTGACTGCGTATAGTGAAATATTATTCTATATCTTTCTTTCATAAATATAAAAATGAGGAGATATGTTACAATAAGACAATTATCATAAAGAGTTAAACGAAGTGGTAGAGAGCAATTATAGGTCACCGTGTACGGACTTCAACCACATAATGAGAAAACCTTATACCGTATAGTCGGCTATAGAAGGCCCCGACATGAAAAATGAAAAACATTTCAAAGGAGAAAACTATAACGGCCTAATTTATAACAAATCAATCATACGAAAAACAAATATGATAGACATGCAAGGTTTGAAAAATAATCATGTTTCATTTGTTGGTCTAATTCGTAGCAGGAACATATTAGTTAGATATACTGTTCCCAGTTCGTAGCTAATGCCCCTTTGACGGAAATTCAGATTTGACAAAGTATTTTCTATTGTCGTACCTCTCCTTATGGTCGAAATAAAAGTTTCACTTAAGACATTGGTGTAATACATACGTCAAACAGACACAATGTTGTTTGCTGCCTTATCAGATGGTACAATGTCATATTTATTATTTATTTCTTATTCTAGAAGTTTTTTTATAATGTCTCGACATATACATGATATAATAGTTGACTATTCAAGTTTGCTTATTGACACGTAATAGTATGTAAACCGCATATCGTTCTGCTGTTAAACGATAGATTCGGAGGATATCGAAAGGTATGTCGAGAAAGTATTGACTAATATATCATGTGTATATATGGAATGTTGGACAACAATATGATATGTATATTGTCATTTTCTTTACACTGTGGTGGGAGTGGGCACATACACAGAGAGAGTCCCCACAATCACTTGAAAAATGGGACATGTCTGGAATTCTCAGTCATTCTAGGTCGGAAATAGGAAACCATGGAAAAAATCCAAAAGAAATCAATGATTTTCAATCCGTTTGTAAGATACAGGATTTTATCTATAATCATAGGACAACAGATTTGTTGGCAATCACTATATTCATTATTCAGTACCCAAATATAATTCTAAGATCAGAAATTCATTTTGTTAGGTTTTTCTAACTGACCAATACCTTCTTTTTCTCCATTTTTTATTTTTTAATTGGCATGTACATGTAAAAATTATATAAAATACAAGGTGCGGTATTTCATATGCAAGACGAAAAGATGACGTTGCCTAAAATTCTAAATTCGACACTTCATAGTAAAAAGTACAAACATTTTAGGGATTAAGAATATTCGGATCGTTTCGGACTTTTTCTGATATATTTATCTAAACAAAATGGAAAAAGAAACGAGAATTTTTACTTTTCTCACAGTTAGTTTAAACATTATTGTTTATAGTATTGAACATTAAGTATAACCTGCCTTTTTTATATGGTCAATTGAATGATTGAATCAAGCATATGGTGTCGTGTCGGTACTTCGAAGGGTTCTCAGCTTTTATCAGGTCAGGAATAACCACCTATTGGTGGATTATACATGTACCTCAATTGACGTATAATCCACCAATTGACATATAGTGGTATAGACCAATTGACGTATAATGCAAGTTTTTTGTTATAAAATGCTAGTGTGAGATAGGAGCATCATTTTGCGACTTACAACCTATTTTATGACCATTATTGAGTCCTCAGAAAGTTTCAGTTTTGTCAAAGCCTGCTGCATCTCTTGAGAATGCATGTGTACAACAATTCTTTTGTTGAAACATCTGTACTATTGGCAATAGTATTGGCCATGATTGACTTTTAATAATGAAAGTCAAGTATTAACAAAGAGCTCCATTCACCTGTGGAGTTGTACTCATAATCACATGACTGCAGACAGTATTGATGTCCATTGACAGGTGATTAGTGGTAAATTTGCCAATCAAGAATTGACAAGCTAACAATAGAAGAAACTGCAAATACAATTATTGATCTAATGCAATATGTTATGACACTATACTAAACTAGGAATGTTTGACATGTTTTCATTCAATAATATGGTTTTAAGAAAACAATGCTCCATTTTGGTTGAAAAATTTGCTTTGAAAAACAAAGAATTATACGTCAATTGGTCTATACAATTTTATGTCAATTGGTGGATTATACATCAATTGAGGTATAATCCATCAATTGGTGGTTATTCCTGAACTGTTTATAATTTTGTTACAACCACTGCTAGTGCTACATAATTTTTTGTAGTTCTGCTTGAACCCTGATTACTAAGCTTGGGTTCTGTTATTCTTGCCTTTGTCATTTCTAAACAAATACTTGAAAATGGCATAATTATTTCTTCAGATAAATCAAAGAAATTATTTATTTACTACATCAGATTCATGTCAACTTGCCAACTCGTACTCAACCAAATTGTACCCTATTTTTGCCTGGGCATCCCCGATATTCTGACACCCCATTAGTCTGACACCCCAATAGTCCGACACCCCATTAGTCCGACACCCCAATAGTCTGACACCCTATTGGTTTGACACCCAATCATGCCAATACATGTAGGTCGACATTCCATTAGGCTTAAATTAAAATATTGTTTGTTTGCAGTTTACCGACCGACCTTCGAAAATCCGCCCGACTGTGAACATTTTATTGCTTTTAATTTGAAGAAATTATTTTTAATACTTCAGTTGACTCGATCCGGAATTTTTGGGTCGTTTCCGGAATTGATTTCGAGTCTAGGTCAATTACATGTTTGAAGTTCGGTTTTTCTTCCCTTCCTGTCAAGCGTTCATCGGACCCTTTAATGGTAAAGCACATGGAGATTGTTTACAGGTATCCACGAAGTCATGGAGGAGTACTTTATTCTGTCGTCTTCTGTCAATTTTAAGACAAATAATACACAGAAAAGTTTCATAGTAAACTGTTTATACTGATTCAGCCAGAATTGCACACGGAATGATGTCTTCGATGATATCATTGACGATGATGGAGCGGATATTCATAAAACCGACACGATAACCGTTTCTGTCTTAAACAAATCGGATACAGAATCTTTCGAGACTGACTTTATGGAACCAATATCAGTGGTTCAACAATTCGACACCAGCCTGAAGTATGCCATATTTTCTTTAAATCGTCCTGAAGACGACAAAGAGGAAACAGACTCCTCCGTGACTTCATGGATAACTGTAAACACGCCTGTACGGTGGAAGGACGCATTTGAAAGGTTAAATCAATAAGAAGCCACACAAACTACACAAAGATGTAGAGAAAATGAATGGTTGGCTTGAGAAATAAATATATTCTTTCTGTATCAAATCTATCTTCGATTGCAATGAGTATGCTCCTTTAGGATAAGGGGGGCTGTCCCACTCATTGCAATTATGCTCTCTCTTACAATATTAAATATACCCAAACTGTGTGGCCTGTGTGAATTGAATTGAAATATGTCCTTAGCTAGGAACTATGCTGCTATTTTTTTATGCAGTCAAAACATTTCAGTACAGACCATTTACTTTTAATGGGGTGCTATGGATTTCACCCAAAAGCTAGACTTAAGATTTTTGTTTGTTTTAATTAAAGCCTGGCATCAACATATCTTTCCAAATATAACCTTTATGTCAGATGTCTAATACATTTTTTTTAAGTTGTCTTTTTTTTCAATTGAGGAAGATTCAATGGTTGATTTTTTTTTAACACACTCCTAAATTGTCTTTTGAATCTTTAATATCTACATTTTTCTGATGCAAATACTCTACTCATGAAAACATTCTAGTAAAGATGCATATATGTCGGTATCGGGTCCGTTCGCGCCCAATACACGTTCGCACCCTACACGTTCGCATCCCACACGTTCGCCCCCTGGGTCCGTTCGCACCCTTTTTTATTATTCAAAAACCCGATGAATTATAAGATGTTTTTTAAGATGTTTATCTCAAAATAAAGAATAAAGAAAAATTCGACAATTTTAAATTTTTTAAATGAAATATTGTTTTAAATTGATTTGATGATTAATTATTATATGTTAATTATGTATGATTACTGTTAATTATATATGGTGTTTACACAGCTAAACTTGAAGTAAATTGTAGTTATATTAGCATGTATTTAACTTGGTATGAGTAAAAACAATTAAGATTCAAAATGTTATTGTTGTTGAGTTTAAAGCGGTTTGGTATCTTAACATTAAAATAATTTTCAACACAAAAAACCTTTTTAGAAAGTCACTTTATTTGGAAACAATGAAAAAAAAAAATATAGCAATACACTAACCAAAACACGATTAAAAAGATATTCAACACAAAAAACGTCACTTTATTTTGCATGTTTTGAAACAAAAAAAAAAAACTTATTTATAGCAATACAATAACCAAAACACGATTAATAAATTATTCAACACAAAAATCGTTTTTAGAAAGTCACTTCATTTTAAAACAATGAACAAAAAAAAATATTTATAGCAATACACTAACCAAAATACGATTGAAAAATTATTTAAGACAAAATCAATAAAAAGGGTGCGAACGTGTAGGGTGCGAACGGACCCAGGGTGCGAACGTGAAAGGGGGCGAACGTGAATGGGCGCGAACGGACCCGGATTCATATATGTCAGTGAATATGCTTCTTTACAACAATTCTAGTCATTCCTTGTTTATAAGTGTTCCAGTATTTCATAATACCATAAATTTATGTCATAAATTGTATAATGACACTATGTTAAGTTTCAGTTTTGGTTAAAAAGGTGTTTACCTGAAAATGCCTGTTCAATTCATGTTGGTTTTCAGTGTTTGTTGTTTTAAAATGTTTTTTCTTCACAAGAAACTTGGTTTGTGTTAAACTACTTGTTTAAACTTTATTCTGGCTGTTAAAATAAAATATGTTTCCTACCTACCGACCCTGCAGTCTGAAGGTACAGTCGGAAAACTGCAAACAAACATATTTTTAAGGTTGGCCTTAGTCTTACATCAAAATGTTTTTAAAAAAAATGTATTTATTTTTATATTATATAGAAAGCCTAATAAAAGGTTCATTCAATATTAAGAAGAGGACACTGTCCTTCGTGGGAACAGGTAATGCAAGCTTGGTTAATGTATTGGTAGCAGAATTTCGTCACCACTAACTAAAAGCACAAACTACATTGTTAAGGTTAAGTCTTTGCGAACTGCTTAAATACCTCTCGATACAATATCTCAGAGATACAGGTTAAAAATGACGCAGTAAGAAAATAAAGGAACCAATGAAGCTTTGCTGCATACAGTAACCCAACAACACAACATCTTAATCATGGTATCATAGATTATGTAGCTTGCAATTTTGAGTCATTCAATTTATAATGGACAGAATTATTTATTTTTGCAGGACATGTTTTTTCTCAGGATGAATAAAGTTTTGGACAAAGAAATATGAAACACTGTACAGAAGGATGAAAACAGATTACGGTCTATATGGAATAACAAACGTCTAGAATTAGAAGAAATGGTATAGATCATATAATAGTGTAAATTCAGAAATTTTTGCGTCCATTTATCATGACAACAATGTTTATTATAATTTTGTGATATTTTAAGAATGGAAAAAATGTGAAATAAATTATTACAATTTCATGAATATCTGCATACATCAGTCAGGGGACTTATTGAAATAAGTGATTTTTAAATCACTTATTTAAGTAGCAAATTCAAAGTTTTGTCACAAATTGTGATTTTGTAGTTTTACCAAAATTTTAAACACATAGGTTTAGATAATATCTTTTCATTAGTAAAATTGAAAAAATGAACTTTTTGCTTCTTTTAAGCAGCAAGGTTTAGGCTTAAATTAAAATATTGTTTGTTTGCAGTTTACCGACCGACCCTCGAAAATCCGCCCGACTGTGAACATTTTATTGCTTTTAATTTGAAGAAATTATTTTTATTTTTCTATTGACCCAATCCGGAACTTCTGGTCGTTTCCGGAATTGATTTAAAGTCTGGGTCGATTACACGTTTCAAGTTCGGTTTTTCTTACCTTCTTGTCAAGCGTACATGGGACCGTTTAATAATAAAGCACATGGAGATAGCCTGGGATTCTGGCCAACTGCTTGACAGTAGACCTATCGACGAAGTATTAGATTGGGTCAGGATGCCAGGCTACACATGGAAATTGTTTACAGGTATCGATGAAGACACGGAGGAGTACTTTGCGCTTTCGTTTTCTGTCAATTTTAAAACAAATAACAACCAAAAAAGTTTAATAGTAAACTGTTTATACAGATTCAGACGGATATCATTGACGATTTGAGAACGCATGATGCAGCGGATATTCATAAAACCGACACGATAACCATTTCCATCTCAAACAGATCGGGTACAGAATCTCTTGAGCCTGACTTTATGGAACCAATATCAGTGGTTAAACAATTTGACAGCAGCCTGAACATGCTGAAGTATGCCATAGTTTCTATAAAACGTTTTGAAGAAAACAAGGGTGAAACCACTTCTCCATGACTTCATGGATACCTGTAAACACGCCAGGAAGTGCGCATTTGAAATTTATAATCGATAGACAATGCCAAATCTATAAGAAGCCACAGAAACTACACAAAGATGTAAAGAAAATTAATGGTTGGCTTGTAAAAATAAATATACTTTCTCTATGTTAAATCTATCTTCTATTGCAATGAGTATGCTCCTTTAGGATAAGGGGAGCTACCCCACTCATTGCAATTCTTCTCCCTCTTACAATATTAAATATACTCAAACAGTGTGGCTTGTGTGAATTGAATTAAAACATATCCTTAGAAGCTATGCTGCCAATTTTTTATGCAGTCAAAACATTTCAGTACAGACCATTTACTTTTAAAGGGGTGCTATTGATTTCACCCTGAAGTCTTAAGATTATTTTTGGTTTTAATTAAAGCCTGATCACATCAACATATCTTTCAAAATATAACCTTATTACATATAATTAAATATTGTTAGATCTATGAAAACAGTCAGATGGCAAATATATTTTTTCAAGTTTCCTTTTTTTTTTAATTGAGAAAGATTCAACATGTTCAATGGTTAATTTTTTTATTGATAACAACACTCTTACATTGTCTTATGAATCTTTGATATCTACATTTTCCTAATGAAAATACTCTACTCATGAAAACTTTCTAGTAAAGAAGCATATGTCAGTGAACAATTTCTTTAAAACAATTCTAGTCATTCTTTGTTTATAAGATCTTATAAGTGTTCCAGTATTAGTATTCAATAATGTCATAAATTGGATAATCACACCATGTTATAGTTTCAATTTTGGTTGAAAAGTTTTTATCTGAAAATGCCTGTTCATTTCATGTTGGTTTTCAGTGTTTGTTGTTTTAAAAGAAATTTCTTCACAAGAAACTTGGTTTGTGTAACTGCTTGTTTAAACTTCATTTTGGCTGATAAAATAAAATATTTTTCCTACCTACCGACCCTTCAGTCTGAAGGTACAGTCGGAAAACTGCAAACAAACATATTTTTAAGGATGGCCTTATGCCTTTGATGCAATCATTTAACTGCAAATTCTATTTTAGTTGAAAAATGCTATAAAAATGGCTTTACATAATGAACTGATACTTTCTCAACAGATTTTTCTCAGCAGTGGGAGTATTTTTCCTGTAAAATTCAAGGTTTCATCTTATAGATTATGTAATAAAATTCTACTGTTCGCAATCAAAATTTCATTGTTCGGGGGTGTTGAAATTAGTGGGTGTTATTAAAATAATGATACTTAAAGAAGTGATTTTTTGGAAGGAAATTGAGGTATGATACTTAAACATGTGATTTGTATGTCATTATCCTAGATTTAGTACAAGGTCATCACCTGACATGACCCGGTCATCCTATCAACACAGATGTTGGTTTTGATAATTTTAGCAACATAATTAGTCCCTGGATCATTAGTATTCTATATTTAAAGCTACAATAAAATTAAATCACTAAGTCTAGTGATTAATTTGTACTACTTAAATAGGTGATTATTAAAGAAAGACAACTCTTACTTCAAACCTTTATGGACATAATGTTACTTGAATCAGTGATTTAGAAAATCAGTCATTTAAGTAAGTCCCCTGACTGTACATACTGACATATATCAGATATCAATATGAGTTCTTATTTTTGTGATATACTCTCCCATTTGCATTATTGGCATTAAAAAAAATTCTGAATTTGCATCAGTCAAACATGTATATGTTCAAATGATTGTATAACTCATATTGCGTTTAAAATGAAAATTTGAGATATGGTGTAAACAAAGAGACAAAAAATGAAATTTGAGATATTGTGTAAACATTAAAGAGACAGAAATGGAAATTTGAGATATTGTGTAAATATTTGAGAGAGAAAAAAAAGGAAATTTGAGATATGGTGTAAACATCAATGGGACAAAGAATGGAAATTTCAGATATGGTGTAATCATTGAAGAGACATCAATCAACCTTGGCAACATGCTTCCAGTAAAAACATTAAAGACACCAAATACTACATGGATTCATTATTATTCATTGGGTATTCATTTTAGTACTAATTTTCATGGATTTCATGGAATAACCTCTGATTTAAGTGATCCACTAAAAACAAATTTCCTATAGGTTTTGATTGCAGAATTTATGAAAACCACAAAAATCAAATTATATCCACAACTAATAAATAAAAATCAATGAATCACAAAATTTGACTAAATGATTGGCAAATTCTCAATACAATTCAGGCTCCAAGTCTTGAAAGTTATAATGGAATTCAAAAGATACTTCGGAAGAGCTGACATTTTCAAAAACCTAACAAAACCAACAACAGTAGGACAATAAACATAATAAAAAAGGCAATGATCGGTCCAGAAAGTTTTATTATGAATATATTAGTTCTGTGAGGTATAAAACTGTGTTTTTGGATAGTTACAAAACAAGTGAACCTTATAACACTTATAACTAAATGTGTTATGTACATTATACCAGATTGTACATACAAATATGTGAAAGCAGTAAAAGTTATAAAAGCTTGTAGCATTGATACCAATATACATAGGTCTATGCAAGCTGATATTTCAGTGTTTCATAACAAGGTGTCAACCCATGATATGGTATCTGTTGTCTTTAACAAGAAGTTTTATTATACCTGTACATCATCATTAACTTAGGTTGCTCCAATATAAATTTTAGTTCTTCAGACTTAATAGAGACAAAAAGTCAGTCAGGGGTACTATTTGTACAAGTTATTTTTATTTACTTGAAGAAGTAAATAATAATATACTTATATAAGTTAATTTGTTATATTCATATTTTCTTATAAAGTTTGAATAATCTCCCCTTAATTTTCTCAAAAAATTTACTTGTATAAGTAATTTTTTTTACAATCCCTAAAATTCTAAGTTTTGGGATGTAAAAACATGTCTTAAACAATTTTCTCAGGTAAGCTCATAATTTTTGATTAGAGTCCAACGTTTCATCTCATTAATTCAACAGAGAAACTAATTGCGCAAAGATCTTAAGTAATTGCGCAAGGCCTTCAAAAATTACCCCCTGGAGGCTTGTAAATGAGCAGTATTTTGAAGATAACAAATGAGATTTTCATTGTCCATGAAATTACACTTCAATAATAAGTAAAGAAATTCTGCAAAGGACAGACAATTAAAAATTCTATTAGAGTAAAGAAGTCCTGAGAAATTCAAGAAAAGAAGATAGTATGACGTAAACAAATCTGAATGTCTAAGGGACATAACTAAGCCATTAAAATACTTTACCTATACAAGTTAATAAAATACACTTGTATAAGTATCTTACAATTTTACTTATATAAGTATATAAATATTTACTTCTTCAAGTAAATAAAAATGACTTGTACAAGTAGTACCCCTGACTGAAAGTGGTGTTAGAAAATTTATTTTTGCTGAAAAAATAAACAAATGTTGTTAAACAACAAAACATTTTAAGTTGACTGAATTTAAGTTGTACACAACATGACCAGCAATTTTAATTCCAGGTGTAAATCTCCAAAATTAATTTTGTTGTCCTTTTATTCATATTTCACATTTGGTCAAGTTGTATAATCATGATAATATTTAAAAAGAACCTACATACTTATTTACAAGGGAATAATATAAGGAGCTAGGATGAAATTTGAAAAAAATAGCAGGACAGAAGTTTTGAGTAAAAAAAAAGGCAGGATGAGCAACTTGGCAAAAAAAAAAAGGCAGGATGACAATTTATGTAAAAAAAGTCAGGATAAACTAGTAAAAAAAAAGGCAGGACCGAATAGAGTAAAAAATAAAAAGGCAGGACAGAGATTACAACTAAAAAAAAGCAGGACAAAATTTTTCATCCTAGCCCCCCCCCATAAAAAATCAAATGGTAGCTCCCTTAGACATAATGTATTATATAATATATACTGTGGATTCATTATTATTTGTTGGATACCAATTTTCGTGGATTTCGTGGGTACAGATGAACCACGAAAGTAAGTGTTCCATGAATTACAAATTTTCTATAAGGTTATATGCAGACAGTCTTTTGCAAAACCATGAAATCAAATATCAACTAAAATGCAAATTTTCCTCATTCCATGAAAATAAACGAATTCACAATATATAGTTAATTTCTCACCAAAGATTTTAATGTTACTTTTATTTATCATTTTATTTATCATTTGTAGGGAGGAAAACAAATGGTCATGAATATCATTTTGTGTCTGTTGGTCATGATATTTGATTATGTGTCAGCCATATCTCCAGATTCAATAATGATAAGTAAGTACTTTTCTATACCGAAGTATATTCTATATTTTGTTTTGCTTCTGATTTTTGTAGCCTGAGAAAAACTTATCTGCTCTGATTTGATTGCAATGAAATGTAAGTTTAAGTTATATACATTTTTGTCTCGCCTGCAACAATAGTCACAGTATGCGAGACATACAGTACAACCTGTGACTTCCTCTTAGTTATGTCCACCCTCTTGTATGGTCACCATCGAATGGTGGCCATTTATTGGGGTATTCAATTTTTAGATGTTGGCCATTTATTGGGGTCATAAAACATAGGTTGATGTTTTATCTAATTATGTTACCTGTTGAAATCAATCAGGGTTGAAGTTTTCAGCTTGTATGTTTCATTAAAATTTACCTGTACAGGTAACTCAGGTTTCTTCTCAAATTGACATATCACCTTTTCTTTAAAATGTAGAATAGAATGTTGTTTTAGTCTTTGTTAATTCATATCATTTGTTGATTTGTCTGTCTTTATTTACATATTTTCCTTTTTTTATAATGTTATTTTTTATTTGTTTTTTTGCTTCTTATTCTTTTAATTTCTTCTTGGAAAGAATCTTGAGTAGAAATGACAAAAATTCAAAAATAAATTAAGTTAATGACTAGCATTTGTAAACATAACAGAGAATCCTTTAAATTATTTTTTACAGTAAAAAAAAGTTATTGTACATGATGTACATGGTATTCAATTGTTTGTTTGCATTATTAAATGAATTATTATTAATTATAACTTATAATCATGCAAATGATATGTTTTAAGGAACCATGAAGCAAGTAATTTAACAAGCCTGTTTCTTAACTAATTAAAATTATCAATATCATGAATATCTATCCTTTTACAATAAATTTTGTTTACAAAGTTGTACAATCTATATTCATGATTATTATTCAGGAAAACTAAAAATATCATTATATGGTATAGGAATAAACTATTTTTGTTTATCTTTTATATTTTTCCAAATCTCAAAACTGGAGTTGTGCTTTTTGTTCTGTGTATTATATTGTTGAAACTGCAGGACTGGCATATGCATGATACATATTCTTGGTATACATTTGCAAAGAATATTTCACTCAACTCAGGCCTTTTAGATAAAGTTAATAATTGCAGGGAATTGAATGAATTATATTCATTAAAGCCCTTGATTAAAAATGAATTTTAAGAAAAAAAAATAAGAATATTTTTGAAAATGAAATAAAAACTCATGATGAAAACATATTAGAGAATCACTAGAGACTTAAATTTTCCAAATGGCTACCCAGGTATCATCAAATTTTGATATATGCTAATCATAATGAAAATGTTCTTATCTCTATATTGATCTGAATAAAGTAAATCTTATGAAAAGAAATAATTTAAAGAAAAAATTATCTTGCTTTTTGAAACAATTGTAAACTTATCAAATATGTTATCTTCAGTTAGGCCAATTTTGTCAGTTAACAGGCAAAATTTGTCTCCAGTAAAAAAAAAGTACACTTCTATATAGATTGTAACATTTTTATGGTCTATTAATTAAATCACTTTTTGTTCTGTGTATTATATTGTTGAAACTGCAGGACTGGCATATGCATGATACATATTCTTGGTATACATTTGCAAAGAATATTTCACTCAACTCAGGCCTTTTAGATAAAGTTAATAATTGCAGGGAATTGAATGAATTATATTCATTAAAGCCCTTGATTAAAAATGAATTTTAAGAAAAAAAAATAAGAATATTTTTGAAAATGAAATAAAAACTCATGATGAAAACAGTAAACTCAAATGCTTCACTCAGTAAAGAATTAGTGGTCATAATTTAGAAATAGAAATAGTGGATAAAAGTTATTACAATTAAAGGATAGAATTGTTTGTAAAATTAACATAACAACTTAGAGATAATCTATTTGAAAATTGTTTACCTTCTCATAATTATGTCTCTGACCAGTTAATGAATAAAATCTTGAATCTTATGAATAAAATCTTAACCAAGAACAAAAAGCAAAAGAAATGCTAAACCTCTATAACACGGAACAATGTTTAAAATATTGGCTCCTTTATAAAAAAAAAGTCATTAGAACTTAGGGCAAAACCTAATAATTTATTTCCATGTGTTTTGATTTCTTATAAAATTGTTATTTCTTTGCATTATAATGATTGTTTTTGTTTTTTTTGTCAGAAACTTGATTAAATTGTAATATTTTTATATGACAACAAAAATATTATCAAATTTTTCTGTAATGAATATTTTGAATATACATGTATTTATTCAATAGAGAAATAATGAACTGGCTATATATATATAGCTAAAATTTATTAGAATAAGTCCTAAAGATCATCTTAAGCATTTGTTAAACCATGTTAAATGCAGTAAGTATAAACCATTTTGATTTTAGAAAATTAATTTGAGAAACACCTTTTCAATGGAAAAAGGCAGGCATTGTGAAAGTTTGCATTATATTAGAAGATGATATTCATTTGTTAATCATTTGCCAAAAAATACATGTAAAAAATTACTTAAATTGATGGAATTATTTAAAAGGTATAACATCAAAACAAACAGTCATGAAAAAAAATTTTACAAAAAAAAGTTAGGAAGCTATATTTTCAACTAGATTTATTATTTCATTTTATTTTAGAATTTTCTTGTCATAATCACAGTTATTAAATTTGACAAACACATATATTTTACCTGAGACACTTTACCTGTAAGTTATATAATTTTAACACTTCAATGCAGTCATGATTTCCCTTTATCCTTGACTAGTTTTTGATTAATACCTTGTGTATTAATTAAGCAACAGGAGGTATAATGATGGACATTTAGGGCCATCATGGTGACCATATTTTTTATGGCCACCATTAATAAGATAATGTCACAGGTAGTACTGTAGGTATTACTATCCGGCGGCGGCGGCATAAACTATTTGTATAAAGCTTTATATTTCAGATGGTAAAAGACATGGATGCTTCATACCTTGTATGCAGATACCTTATGTTACGAAGTTTCCGTCTGTCATATGCCCATTGTCCTTGACCTCATTTTCATTGTTCAGTGACTGCTTGAAAAAAGTTACAGTTTTTTTGTCATGTGAATTACTCACTTATTATGAGTGATAGGATAACTATATTTGGTATATGGGTTCCTTGCAACGTCTACATGTCTCTCAGACACGGTACACCTCACCTTGACCTCAATTCATGGATCAGTGATCAAGGTTAAAGTTAGGTGATTAGGTCTATTTCTCAGATACTACAAGCAGCAGGTCAGCTATATGTGGTGTATTGAATGATTGTAAGGGGTACATGTCAGACTGACAGGTTTCCTCTGACCTTGACCTCATATTCATGGTTCATTGGTCATTGTTATATTTTTGTGTTTTGGTCCGTTTTTCAAGTACTGTAAGCAATAGGTCAACTATATTTGGTGTATGGAATCATTGTAATGTGAACATGTCTGTCTTGCTGGTGTCATCTGACCTTGACCTCATTTTCATGGTTCATTGGTCAATGTTACGTTTTTGTGTTTTGGTCTGTATTTCAAATACTAATAGCAATAGGTCAACTATAATTGGTGTATGGAATGATTGTGAGGTGTACATGTCTGTCTAACCAGTATCATCTGACCGTGACCTCATTTCCATGGTTCATTGGTTTACATTAAGCTTTTGTGTTTTGGTCTTTTTTTTTATTACCATAAGCAATGGGTCATCTATATTTGGTGTATGGAATAATTGAAAGGTGTACATGTCTGTGTGACAGTTTTTATCTGACCTTGACCTCATTGTCATGGATCTTTAAGAATGTTAAGTTTATGTGATACTTGTAGTAAAACCTTTATCTTTAAGGCTTTCAACATAAAATCAATGGTCAGTAAAACAGGCAAGACATTTCAGCTGTGCACTCTTGTTTATTTATTAAAAGTAATTATAACCAAAGATAGAAAATTAGCAATACAACTTGTTGAATATTAAAACCACCTCATAACTTTCAACAATTTTAAAATCTTACTGTTATAGCTTCTATAACCAGTGAGATAACTCAAAAATGAGGCTTTTGTGTGAGATTTGATGTCCTGTCAGAAGAATATTAGGAGGCTGCCTGGCATTAATAACAGGAAAGTTAACTTCTATTAAACAGTACTGTAGATTCATTTATTTTCGTGGGTACCAATTTTCATGGATTAAAGAAAACTTGCATGTTCGTGGATATTTAATTTTGTGGTTTAGCCAAAGTCTGCATACAAGCGCCTATAGAAAATTTGTCATTCGTTGAACATTTAATTTCGTGGTTCACCTGTACCAACAAAATCCACGAAAATTGGTATCCAACGAATAATAATGAATCCGCAGTACTTCTAGTTAATGATATAAATGATTAACCAATTACTAAAACTAACCAGATTCTCTTTTAAATTTACAGGAAAAGATGATGATTGCAAATCCAGAAACTTTGTTAGGAAAAGACAGACATACATATTTACGGCATATGAAATACTCGATAAATGTAATTTTGACATAACAATACCAAGCTACTATGGAAGTAGTCAATACTGTGTGACGGTCGATCATGTCAATATTGACGAGGATCTGTGTCCGATGGAACTGAAGATATATGAAGGATTAGTTACTTACGGAAAAACTGCTACAGTGGTGGGTAGTATATATTTATGTGTAACTTAAGAGGTAGAGTTTACTGGGTCCATTAATGTAGACCAGAGTTCTAAATATATTTTTTCTCCCATCGTGGTCTTTAAAGAAAATCTGCTGGTCCTCACTATTATTTCTATTGCAAAATACCAAAATTGTGTCAGACCTTTGCAAATTTTGTTGGTAAAACATTCGAGCCACCAATTTTCAGGAACACTGGTAAACAATCAGTCAGCAAGATGGTTATCACTATGAATAGGATAAACGACCACTTACTATAAACCAAGAACTTTTTTGAAGATTTTATTTGTGCCTTTTGTGAGCAATTACTTATTCATCATCTTCACAAAAATCAAATGTTATTAAACAAATTATATACACGATAAAGCATTTTGCATACCAAATATAAGTAAAAATAAAAAATCACAAACATGTTAAATGAAGATTTTGAAATTAGCTGCTGGTAGCAGAAATAATAAAGGACAACAGTACCGAAACTAGTTTTTTGTCTCGGCTGCGATGAAAGGGATTACTATCCAGCGGTGGAGTAAACTATTTGTATGAACTTTTATATTTCAGAAGCCAGAAGACCTGGATGCTTCATACCTTGTATGCAGATACCTTATGTTACCAAGTTTCTGTCTGTCATATGTCCATTGTCCTTGACCTCATTTTCATGGTTCACTAACTGCTTGAAAAAAAAAAATTTTGTCATGTGAATTTTTCACTTGTTATGAGTAATAGGATAACTACATATTTGGTATATAAGTTCCTTGCAAGGTCTACATGTCCGTCAGACAAAGTTCACCTGACCTTGACCTCATAATATGGATTAGTGATCAAGGTTAAAGTTACTTGATTAGGTCCATTTCTCAAATACTATAAGCAAAAGGTCAACTATATATGGTGTATGGAATTATAGTTAGATGAATATGTCTATCTGACAGGATTCATCTGACCTTGACCTCAATGTCATGGATCTTTAAAAATGTTAAGTTTATGTGATACTTGTAGTAAAACCTTTATCTTTAAGACTTTCAACATAAAATCAGTGGTCAGTAAAACAGTCAAGACATTTCAACGTGTGCACTCTTGTTTATTGCATCTATAATTTAAATATTTGTCAAAATAAAGTTTTGGGCATTAAGATTTACTCTTTGTACATGTATATCAGTCTGCTCGATATTCATTCCTTCAGATTTGTTAAAGTTCACGTTTTTAATTCCTTTTTGTAGAAATTATTAATGGTTTATCATTGATGTAAAATAAAACATGGATTAAAAACATTTGAGTGATAAATATAACACAGGGGTTCAAATTAACATTTGGTACTGGAAGGTCCAGGACCTTTGACACTCCAAACTGAAAGGTCCACAACCTAAATCCCAGGTCCTACTTTTACATGAAATATTTCATAATTCAATAAGATACAAAATTAATGTGCTTTTGGAGTAAGGTTAGTTTGTTTCATCATATTTGAACTGCATGTAATGTTTCGTTTCTCATATAATGGGCTATCCATCGAATAAACAGTTTACAACCTTCAATATTGAAGTACTGCTTACACATCAACACCATTTTTGCACTGGATTTCAAGAATAAATTCATAGTCACTGAAGGGTTTTCCTTTTTTGCAATACTGTATGCAGTGTTGAAAAGAACCTTATATCTATTTAATCTTTAGACTTAAAATTTGGGTCACTTTCATGGATCCACTGCTTTAAACAAGATAAATGCCAGGGTGTCACTTCGTGTATTTTTATTGGGTCTATTTTAAGATTTTGTGTTCCCCTTACAAGTGCACGTTTTCTGAATGAGTAGGGAACTTCTGGCAGTATGTGCATGACATTAGACCAGTTGATTCATCAAAATATAGCCACGGTTTGATCGATTTTCCAGTGGGGCTTAAATGTTCATTCCCGTTTTTCACGATCGCATTTTTGGTCTTTAGTGAGATCTTCATTTGATTTCTTTTGAAGACGTTGAAGACACAGGCACTTGTTTCTATCCATGGGAAGGTTGAATATCCTTCTATATTTAAATGGACTCATTTTGTTCGATTAAATGATTTGTCACGTGACTTCTCGCAACTATTTATAACCTTGTGTTTCCAAGAAATACAAAGTTAAAAATAACTTTTATCACTCGTCGGCAAGGTCAGGGATGAAACATTTTTTTTTATCTCAATTTCAATAATAATATGGCTTAAAAAAAAGACGATACAGATGGTTAAAAGGTCAGCAAAGATAATTTTTATTTCCTTTAAAATCGAAGATCCGTCTGGCGTAGCTAGTAACCAAAACAGAAGTCCGATTGCAACAGTGGAAGGTCACAGACCTCGAACCACTGCTAATTTGAACTCCTGCTAACACCGGCCAGTTTCATTTTGGTCACTATGTCCTATATTTTATATACGGTATGCTAAATGACTCCAGTAAACATTTTTCATTTATGACCATATCTCTAAAACCTTGTTATATCATTCTCTTAAATAACTTGCTAAAAATGTTGACAGCAATTTGTTCTGCAATGCATACATTCTTAGTGGAACTGACTTAACAAAAAGCCTTTTTTGACTTGCAAGCCCAAAAGCAGTCTCCTAAAAAAAATTAAAATATGGTTTATGAGACCTATTTTCAGGAGTTTTACTGGCCTAACATTTTCCCTGAACTAGGTTCTAAGACTTGTTGTTTACCTTAGAACTGGTGTTACCATGGTTACATTTATGTTTTTTTTCTCCCTGCTCTGTCCTCATTTGTTATATATATTAGAATTTAGAACACAGTTTTAAATAGTTATATCGTGATTACCTACTTTTAATATACCTTCTTCTTATATCATGTATATAAGGGTCTGGCAGGGGGTTTACAGAATAAAGAACAATGAACCAAAAAAGTAGAGAATAGAGAATAATGGGGTGCTAAAATATGAAAAATAGAGAAAATTGGGCAAGATATATAAAGGATAGAGCATGTAGAGAAAAGTTAAATAATACCGAAATGAAGAAACCCCAATGCACACCATCTTTTATGATTTGAAGTTGCAGTTTAGAATAATTTTTTTTTTATCTTAGCACTTAACTTGTGATAGTCAAGTAACAACAAAAGAACCCATATGTGTGTCAGGTATTGGAAATGGAATATTCATAGTCTTTAGAACTTACAGAAAATCTCGCTTAAGCAGAGTTCATTTGAAAGTCACGTATGGACCTATACCCAGAAGTAAGTATAAATAGTCTGTTATAAATATCTATATGAAAATAAAGAGATGTAGTAGATTGCCATTTAGACAACTATCTACCAAAGTTCAAATGATAAAGATATTAGCAATATTAGGTCACTGTTCCCCCTTCAAAATGCAGATTATATAATTGTGGTCTTGGCTACCATTCTCATATGATCAATGAAATGTTGCCTGTTCTGCAGGCATACATTTTGTAGATCAATGGGTTGCGTTGTGTATTGTTAATCATGATCGTAAACTTGACTAAGGAGTTATAGATATAAATGCGTCTGCCATTACAACTTTCTATTCAATAAATGTAATCTGTAAAAATTTCACAAGCAAATTTTTTTTTCTGACTTGCATGATTTGAAAAATAACTCAAATATATGTTAAATTTGGATCTTCCCTTACACAAATACATTAAGGGAACGACCATTTAACTTCAAGGCGAAGGGGGGCTGGGGGGGTTATGGTTTTTTCCTTAAAAAATATTCTAATCCCCTATTTGATGAAAAAAAATATTGTGGTCAAGAAGATGACAAAAAGAAATTATTCTGTATCCAGATTCTCCCCATACCTTAAAGTGTTAAATTTTGAAAAAAATAATTTGATTGACAGTGTTGAAAAAGTAAAAAAAATGTTTGCGCATTGTGCAAAAAAAAATTTCTGACTCAGACAAAAAACCATAACCCCCTTTGAAGTTAAATGGTTGCTCCTTAAGAGTAATGAAAATACTATAGAAAATTGCAATAAAAAATCACTGTAAAGTCACCTGGAAAGGGAAAGGTGAAAATAAAGTATCCACAAAAGTTAGTTGGTTTACAATGTTGGTCAGCATCCCCATGATAATTTGCATCCATAGGTAAAAATTGTTATCAACAGACCTGGAATAATAAAATGTAATTGTAATTACCAGTACTCATTTACAAAATTTGAAATTAATTTTAGATATATATTATATACGATATATAGACTTTCGAAGGGACCCTTTCTTTATACATTGGAATATTGGGTAAGATACTAATTTAATTTTTGTCGAGCCTCCGACTTTTGTTGCAAAAGCGAGACATAGCGATCCTACATTCTGTCGACGGCATCGTTGTCGTCGTCGTCGTCAGCAGCGTCAGCAGCATCCACAAATATTCACTCTGTGGTTAAAGTTTTTGAAATTTTAATAACTTTCTTAAACTATCCTGGTTTTCTACCAAACTTGGACATAAGCTTGTTTATGATCATAAGATAGTATCCAGAAGTAAATTTTGTAAAACAAATATCCTGTTTTTCCGTAGTTTACTTATAAATGGACTTAGTTTTTCTGCCAGTTAACATTACATTCACTTTGTGGTTAAAGTTTTTAAAATTTTAATAACTTTCTTAAAATATCCTGGATTTCTACCAAACTTGGACAGAAGCTTGTTTATGATCATACATTTGTAAGATAGTATCCAGAAGTACATTCTGTAGTTAAAGTTTTTAAAACATTTATTAGATTCATAAACCATTCTGGATTTTTACCAAACTTGGACAGAAGCTTCTTACAATCAAAAGATAGTATCTATAGGAAAATGTTTAATAATTTTTTCCCCATTTTTGTTGAGCCTGTGACTAGCAGCAAAAGTAGGCGAGATACTGGGTTCCGCGGAACCCTTACGAATTTTAAATTTGGCATATAGAAATAAGGAGATGTGGTATGATTGCCAATAAGACAACTATCCACAAGAGTTCAAATGAAGTGGATGTAAGCATATGTTTATAGTATTTATTTTTTAAGTGTAGTTGAAAATATATATTTAAACATGTTAAAGTAATACTATGTCGCTTTCTGTAATTTTAGCCACGACTGTGATAACTCCAAATACATGGGAAGATGCGGGAGATCGTTTAGACATGTCTTTAAATATGGTACTAATGTTAACATTAGTTATCAGTGGAACAGTTATTGTTATCATTGTATGTTATTGTTGTTGCTGTCGGAAGAGGTCTAGCAGCGGAACTGTGATACGACAGCCACAGAATAGACGATCTCCACGATCTCCAGCTTCATCTGCACCTTTGCAACAATCTCATATTCAACCAAGTGCACCAGATCCTTACCCTCATACATACGCCACAGGGCCACCACCTTATGATAACATTACTAATATTCCATTGACACAGCCAACGGGTAAGTTAATTTATCACATAATGTAAATTATTGAAGATGACCTTGACACTAATAATGGTCACCTTTACACATTTGCATTAACCTTCAACCTTCTTAATTAGAAAAACAAACAAAAATTTGATCTAAAAATATTCATAGATAAGGCTGGTGTTCATATCCTAATATTATAGAAAGATCTTAGAATTATGCAATTTAGGAACTGGCACTGGTCATTTTTGTACTTTTTCACCTTAAAGGTTTGAAGTTTGGAGATCTATTATAATAAATAAGAAAGAACAAAATTCAAATCTGTTAGTTCTTATATCTAAAAGACTAACATCTTATGAACATTTAAAGGATAATATTTATCGAAACATTTTTTATATTTTTTAAATACCATGTGATTTATTTATTCAAGGGGCCAGTAAAGAGACCTTATCATATCAATGTGTACCTGATATAATAATAAGAAAATGTGGTATGATTGCCAATGAGACAGCTTTACACCAGAGAACGTACAGCCTTCAATAATGAGCAAAACCAATACCGCATAGTAAGCTATAAAAGGCCTCGAAATTACAAATATAAAACAATTCAAACGTGAAAACTAATGGGCTTATTTATGTACCGGTACAAAACAATAAATGAAAAACAATATGATATACAGCAACAAACAGCAACCACCTAATAACAGGCTCCTGACTTGGGACAGGAAAATAGAGAATGTGTCGGGGTTAAACATGTTTACTGGTGCCTACAGTGGTGTAACAAAACAACATCAAAACAAAACTATAAGGGCTGTATGGTTGCCTATAGTTGCTTACATCCACTTCATTTGAACTTTGGTGGATAGTTGTTTTCATTGGCAGTCATACCACATCTCTTTTTTTTTATATAGAAATTAGTTGAAAAGGGCTTAGCTCATCAGAATTTTCTTTAATGTTTACATATTCTTTTTACAGCACCACCTTTAGAATCTTTACATTACCCACATGATCCAATGGTTTCTGATGCACCACCATCCTATGAGTCTGTTATACAGAACAAAATATGATTAAAGATGTTTTTCAGAGAGATGAAAGGATACAGTAGAAGATCAGACAAAAAGGAAAAAATAGTGCATTTGGATTGCCTATGGCACTATAGAAAAGTCAATGGTATCATCAATGATTTTTTCATTTAAGTTTCAGTTCATCATAAAATCTATTGATTCTAATCCGCAAGTACTACCTATCTTTGATTTTATCAAAAATGGCAAACTTTATTTTCGAAATTTTCCAAGAGTGCATGTTTTATTTATGTCAATTTGAATTACAATGTTGTATATCTATATGATGTTTCCTATGTGAAGTTCTACTAATGAGCTACTATATGTACAAATGCATCACTTACAAAATTCATGGTTTTTATGCCCCTGCCGTAGCAGAGGGGGCATTAAGTTTTACCCTTGTCCGTCTTTACATCCGTCCATCCATACGTCCTTACGTCCCAAAATTGGTTTCCGTTCTCTAACTTTAGTTTGCCTCAACCAACTGTTATGAAACTTAAGCACAATGCTAATAACCACAAAACACAGATCAAGTGTGAATTTTGCTGGCGTCACTTTTACCGTTCTAGAGTTATGCCCCTTTACAAATGGAAAAATTGCTGAATTTTTCGTTTCGGTTCTCTAACTTCAGTTTGCCTCAACCAAATGTTATGAAACTTATGCACATTGCTTATAACCACAAAACACAGATCAAGAGTGAATTTTGGTGTCGTCACTTTTACCGTTCTTTACAAATGGAAAAATTGCTGAATTTTCCGTTTCCGTTTTTTCTCTAACTTAAGTTTGCCTCAACCAAATTTTATGAAACTTATACACAATGCTTATTACCACAAACTCAGATCAAGTACAAATTTGTCTAGCGTCACTTTTACAGTTCTTGAGTTATGTCCCTTTATAATGTTATATGCAAGCGGGGGCATCATCTGTGTCCCATGGACACATTCCCCATTTATTTTTTTATATTTTGGATGTGTTTATAGATTATTTTAATCAACTGCAAGAGGATTTTATATGTATTATAGCTGTTTGTATGCCACTTTTGGAATTTTCAGACTTTCCCAAGAAATTTTGATATCACAAGAGAAAACGTCTAATGTCTCAGTGCAAAAGTGATTGTTGTATCATGCCAAGAAGTCAAGTGTTAATAATCTCTGGTCAATCAAAATGTGGCCTTTTTTTTTCTCTCGTCTGTCAAAGGACAAAAAATGTTGCAAAAATTTGTTATTTTCATTCTGATAAAAAAGTTAAATTTTACACTGGAATTGGTCAAATGTAAAATAAAAGATTTGTTGTTTTTAAAGGAAAATAGGTGAAAAATCTAGGACTACACTACATCTCAGGGGAATATTAACATTTCTACATGTCTTTTCAAAACATAGCTTGTCCAATTCTTATGATAAAGAAAAGAAACGAAAGTCTACTCTATGTGGTGGGAGCATGGGACTACTTGAAAATTTTACTCCAACTCCAACTACGGAAAAGTGAAAATAACACTAAATCACCTGATCTGTAGTGAATTTACATTATACCGTAACAGAAAGTGAAGATATAGGTATTGCTGTTTTAAGTCCCCAAAACATGTATTTGTTTCACATGTTAGAGGAGGATTAGAATCTAAAGAATATTTTAATTGAGTTTTATTTATAACATTTGTATATATTTAATTACTATTTAATTAGGTGGATATGATATTTTTCCACACAAGATCATTTGAATTTTATTGTGTTGAATTGCAAAGTGTTTTTGAAGATTCAAAAAATTAACCAGAGCTAGAATAGATGGATTTTGAATGGATTTAGGGAGGACCCATGAATCCAGTTTCTGTTTTAAGAACAATTTTTCAGTCATTTGTATCGGACATGATACAATGGTAGGATATGACTCCTGAAAGATGCTTAATGAAGCCATGATCATTTGTAGTGATTCACTGAAATATTGTGTTCTTTTTGATGGGTAGGAATTTGAGAAAGTAGTTCTGGTCAATGGGAAGTTCTCAAATTAAGCTCACTTCTCCCAATCATACTTTATTTGTTATCAGATTGGCTTGACAATTCTTCATTCAATATCTAGAATTTGCAAATGACCTTGTATCCTAATGTTTCCATGTGTTTCTGTAAATTCAAAAGAGTTTTGATGTTGTTATTATTGCAAAAATTGCGATAGTATACTCTACTATTGGTTTTTATACGACCGCAAAAATTAAAAATTTTTTGGTCGTATATTGGTATGACGTTGGCGTCGTTGTCGTCGTCGTCGTCGTCTGGCGTCGTCCGAAGACACATTGGTTTTCGCACTCTAACTTTAGTTTAAGTGAATGGATCTCCATGAAATTTTACCATAAGGTTCAATACCACGAAAAGAAGGTTGGGATTGATTTTGGGGGTTATGGTACCAACAGTTAAGGAATTAGGGGCCAAAAAGGGGCCAAAAATAAGCATTTTTGTAACTTCCAGACAATAACTTGTGTGTAAGTGTATGGATCTCTCTGACATTGTACCACAAGGTTCCATATCACAAAGGGAAGGCTGTAATTGATTTTGGGGGTAATTGCCTCAAAATTTTAGGAATTAGGGGCCAAAAAAGGGGCAAAAAAACAAGCATTTTTCTAGTTTCATGACAATATCTTGTGTGTTAGTGTTTGGATATTTCTGAAATTGTACTACAAGGTTCCATATCACAAAGGGAAAGCTGGAATTGAGTTTTGGGGTAATTGCCCAAAACGTTTAGGAATTGGGGGCCAAAAAGGGGCCAAAAATAAGCATTTTTCTAGTTTCCAGACAATAACTTGTGTTCAAGTGTATGGTTCTCTCTGAAATGTAACTGCAAGGTACCATACCACAAAGAGAAGGCTGGGATTGAGTTTGGGGGTGATGAATCATAATGGGGTTCAAAAAAATTTTTGGGGGGGGGGGATTTTTTTTTTTCTTTTTTTCCTTTTTTTTTTCTTTTAAAATTTTCCATTTTAAGTTGGTTATTTCTGATTTATATTTAAAAGCAAATAATAATGATATGGTAGGAGATACACACCAAACAGGATGTGTAAATTATTATATAATAAGTATTGTGCAATAGCAAGAAATTTTCAATTGCACAGTATTGCACAATAGCAAGAAATCTTCAATTGCACAGTATTGCGCAATAGCAAGAAATCTTCAATTGCACAGTATTGCGCAATAGCAAGAAATATCCAATAGCACAATATTGAGCAATAGCAAGAAATTGTCAATTGTACAGTATTGCGCAATAGCAAGAAATATTCAATTGCACAGTATTGTGCAAAAGAAGATACTTCGTATAAATTGCTTATTTCTTGATCAATTTCAATGGGGTTTTATACTTGGATTCTTGTGGTTCTTTAATATGCTGAATCGAACCATGTATTAAGTTTTTGGATTTTGGGCCCCGTTTTTAAATTGGTCCACATTGAGGTCCAAAGGGTCCAAAATTTAACTTTGTTTGATTTCATCAAAAATTGAATTATTGGGGTTCTTTGATATGCCGAATCTAACCGTGTATTTAGATTCTTAATTTTTGGTTCCGTTTTCAAATTGGTCTACATTAAGGTCCAAAGGGTCCAAAATTAAACTTAGTTTGATTTTAACAAAAATTGAATTTTTAGGGTTCTTTGATATGCTGAATCTAAACATGTATTTAGATTTTTGATTATGGGCCCAGTTTTCAAGTTGGTCAAAATTGGGGTCCAAAATTAAACCACTGATTTCAACAAAAATTGAATATATGGGGTTCTTTGATATGCTGAATCTAACCATGTATTTAGATTTTTGATTTTTGGGGCCCCGTTATCAACTTTGTCCACATTGAGATCAAAAGGGTCCAAAATTAAACTTTGTTTGATTTCATCAAAAATTTAATTCTTGGGGTTCTTTGATATGCTGAATCTAACCATGTATTTAGATTTTGGATATTGGACCATAATAGGTGAATGTCCAATTTAAAATTTTTAAGTTCTTAGACCACATTCATTCTGTGTGAGAAACCTATGCTGTGTCAAATATTTAATCACAATCCAAATTCAGAGCTGTATCAAGCTTGAATGTTGTGTCCATACTTGCCCCAACTGTTCAGGGTTCGACCTCTGCGGTCGTATCAAGCTGCGCCCTGCGGAGCATTTTATTCAAAAATAAAACTGGCATTTAAAATTTTAAACGCATTATTTTACACAGCATTTCCTGAATACACATTTACTTGTATCGCATTCATGTCCTTTTTTCAACAATCACAAAAATAAATACATGCATAAATTTCTGTATTTACAGTATTTTAAAATTATGGCACATAGTTTCTGGGAAGGAAAAGATAGAATTGTGATTATGTGATAGCTTGAACTAACAGTTAGCACTCTCTGACCATTATATAGAGAGAAAAAGCATATATAGTACTTAGACAGTATATCCCTGTTGTCTTCCAAAAAGTATTAAATCATTAATTTTTAGTGATGAAAAAGATGTAAGAAATGTTTGATATTAGAATGTAAGAAGCATGTTAGGTATCCCCTTAGGTCGCAAGGTCACATTTAAAAATTGCATGAGGTCACAAGGTCACTTTTAAGCAAATTTGACAGTTATATGTTTAACAATAAACCAATGTTAAAGGTCACAGGTCCTTTTAAATGAGGCTTCAGGACCCAAAGGTGGCCAGCCAAACCCCAAAGGTTGCAGGTCCAATTTGACCATGTTTGAGCAACATGTAAAAATTCATTAATAATTGTTTCTGATCTGAAACTGAAAAGTTATTTATTTATTCTTTAAAGCAATCTTCAAGCATGCTCCAATTATTTTTATTAAACACTCTTGTTATTACATTTATAAAGAAGAGCTTTAGTAGAGATTTACTTGGAGTATGCTTCAAGATAGCTTTCAAGAAAGTATATACAGTCCCTTAAACAAGTCCTTGTTTTGATAACCTCTTGTAAGTGTCAAGATGAACAACAGCATTAACATTGTTGTTCTGCAAAACTTAATGTATCTTAATAAATACTGTAAATTCAGATATTATTTCGTGTGTTCATTATTGCAATTGTGGAAGTAAGGACAAAAAGCAGCTCCAGTCATGCTTCAGTGATTCCCTATATAATCAACCAAATTTTTCCCACAAAAGGGGGGCCCGGGTCCCCCAGTACCCCCCCCCCCCCCCCCCCCCCTTGGATCCGCCTATGTGTATACAGTTATCTGTATCTGATATCAGAATGCAAGTTCTTATTATTGTGATACTCACACAGTCTCATTATTCGCATCAATAAAAAAGCTGTGAATACTTTCTCAATTTACAGTATATATATATATATAGTTATTTCTGTTGTATGCACAGTGTTTCTTAAATCCATAGGTCAACTGAGAAATGGAGGGTTAGGTTTTTATACGCCCGTCAATTTTTGACGGGACGTATTATGGTATACAAATGTCCGGTGTCCGTCTGTCTGTCCGGCGTAAACATGTTGCACCGTTACTTGAGAATGACTTATCCAAATTTCATGAAACTTAACATAGTTGTTTCTTATGATGGTCAAACGATCTGTATACTTTTTGGTGAAAATAAGATTAAAACTTTTTGAGTTACGGGACTTAGTAACTAAAACAGGTGTGTGTTTTTTTTCACATGTCGCGCCGTATCTCAAAAACAATTTATGATTATTGCTTAAAACTTTACACACTTCTTAGTTATATTAATCTTAAGATCTGTATACTTTTTGGTGGTGATTCAAAATTTTATTTTAGAGATATTGAGTATTTTGTTAAAAAAGGGGGAGGGGTTTTTCACATGTCGCGCCGTATCTCAAAAACAGTTTATGATTATTGCTTAAAACTTTACACACTTCTTAGTTATTTTACCTTAAGATCTGTATACTTTTTGGTGATGATTAAAAATTTTATTTTTGAGTTATTGAGTATTTTGTAAAAAAAGGGGGAGGGGTTTTTCACATGTCGCGCCGTATCTCAAAAACGATTTATGATTATTGCTTAAAATTTTACACACTTCTTAGTTATATTAATCTTAAGATCTGTATACTTTTTGGTTTTTATTCAAAATTTTATTTTTGAGATATTGATTTTTTTTTTTTTTAAAAGGGGGGTTTTCACATGTCGCGCCGTATCTCAAAAACGATTTATGATTATTGCTTAAAATTTTACACACTTCTTAGTTATATTAATCTAAAGATCTGTATACTTTTTGGTTTTGATTCAAAATTTTATTTTAGAGATATTGAGTTTTTTGTTAAAAAAAAAGGGGGTTTTTTCGCATGTCACGCTGTATGTCAGAAACTATTTATGCTTATTGCATAAAAATTCACACACAAGACGACGGGCGTATCATGCGCTCATGGCGCAGCTGTTTATTAGACAATAAGTTCATTTACTAGTTTGTATTCTGTACTTCTAAAAACCGTTGTTGATATATTTGGGTTTAAGTCATTTTTTATTCATAATATAGACCATTATGATAGTAAACTAACGGATATTTTACCAGTATATTTATGATACTGCAAAATAGCATTCTGAGCCATTCTTGTGCATTAAGGTTGTCATGAATTACATTTTATGCTTGACTGGCTTTACAAATTTGCGTTTATGATTGGTTTCTAGTTAGCTGTGTCATTTTTTTTTTTAAAAAGACTCTAAATTTATTTATTACATGTATTTCAAAAAGCATTTATTTATTTTAATTAAATTAAATCTGTTATTTCATTAATTTTGAAGCTTAATGATTTATTTGATCTGCCATTTTTTAAAAGATCTGTTTTTACATAAATCTTAGGAAGTTGGAATTGCATTTATATTTTTTCAGTGTTAGCTATTGATGTGGAAAATTTATTTTTGTTGGCTGTGGAATAAGTATACTGAAGTTACGGTTGTACTTATAATTTTTTAGATATGTATTGTTACTTTGTAAAGACTGGTTTTTTTTCTACAATTAAAGTATTGTATATAATGTATTAATATTCATGGCAGGTTCATTTTAATCAATTTTTCTAGTCTTTTTAAGTATCTACGAACTGATTTACAAAATAATATAATGTAATTTTTCCAAGGGAGAATTGTCTTTGTAAATGTCAATGGTTTATTACAGATAAAAAAGAAAATAAAATTGGAATTTGAACTACACATTTAAGCACACATTAAACAAGATAACAAAATTCCTACAAGTCTAATGTAAAATTG